ATCTCCTGTCCTCGGGAGGGCGGCGGCGGCCCGGTGCAGAGTCGGAGGCGCGCTCCCGATGACAAATATTCGCCTCACAGTCAAACACGGCTGCTCACACGCCCAGCCGTGCTCTGGTGCGTCGCTTGGGACGCCTCTGCCGCCGAGATGTCGAGGCCGGCGCGCACTCTTCGACTTGGGCTATTATCTGCCCTCGGGAGGGCGGCGGCGGCGGTGTAGCGTGTAGGGGCGGCGGCGAGCTCCCGGTGGGAAATGCTCGCCTCACAGTCCAAGACGGCGGCTCGCGCCCCCAACCGTGCACCAGCATGCCTCTCTAGTCCCGCCTGCCACCCAGATACCGAGGGAAGGGCGCACTCTTCGACTTGGGCTATTATCTGGCCTCGGGAGGGCGGCGGCGGCGGTGTAGGGGCGGCGGCGAGCTCCCGGTGGCAAATACTCGCCTCACAGTCCAAGATGGCGGCTCGCGCCCCCAACCGTGCACCAGCATGCCTCTCTAGTCCCGCCTGCCACCCAGATACCGAGGGAAGGGCGCACTCTTCGACTTGGGCTATTATCTGGCCTCGGGAGGGCGGCGGCGGCGGTGTAGGGGCGGCGGCGAGCTCCCGGTGGCAAATACTCGCCTCACAGTCCAAGATGGCGGCTCGCGCCCCCAACCGTGCACCAGCATGCCTCTCTAGTCCCGCCTGCCACCCAGATACCGAGGGAAGGGCGCACTCTTCGACTTGGGCTATTATCTGGCCTCGGGAGAGGGCGGCGGCGGCGGTGTAGGGGCGGCGGCGAGCTCCCGGCTGCAAATACTCGCCTCACAGTCCAAGATGGCGGCTCGCGCCCCCGGCCGTGCTCTGGCGTGCCTCTCTAGTCCCGCCTGCCACCCAGATACCGAGGGAAGGGCGCACTCTTCGACTTGGGCTATTATCTGGCCTCGGGAGGGCGGCGGCGGCGGTGTAGGGGCGGCGGCGAGAGCCGGCGAGCTCCCGGTGGCAAATGCTCGCCTCACAGTCCAAGATGGCGCCTCACACGCCCAACCATGCTCTGGTGCGTCGATTGGGTCGCGTCTGCTGCCCGTGTCTCTGTCTTATCGGCACGACGACAACAAGCTACCCCTAACCCTAACCCTAACCCTAACCCTAACCCTAACCCTAACCCAACCCTAACCCGAAGAACTCGGAGCATTCACCGAGAGCTCGCGTCAACGGACCGCTGGTTCCTCCATTCCGACCCGAAGCGGCCCGTTCTTAGGAGCTGCACAACGGCTTGAACTCTCTGACCCTAACCCTAACGCTAACCCTAACCCTAACCCTAACCCTAACCCTCGGCTGTGGGTCAGGCTGTGCTGTATAAGGCGCGCGAGGGGCTGGGTGCTTTGCTACCTTGCTTGTGTCTCCCGTGGCCGGGACGGTTGGTTGGGTGGTGGGGGTGGGTCGGTCGGTGGGGGTGGGTTTCCTCGCCTCATCAGCCGGGCCGTGAGGTGGCTGGTGGGTGGGGCTGGGGGTGGGTGGGTGGTTCCAAGCCTCAGCCGGGCCGTGAGGTGGGTGGGGTGGGTGGGTGGTTCCAAGCCTCAGCCGGGCCGTGAGGTGGGTGGGTGGGTGGGTGGCTCAAGAAGCTCGTGCACGTGAACGGAGGTCCAGAGGCACGTGGTGTGAGAAAAAACCAAACGCAGCCGGCCCAACTCGAACAACGAGCTCGACCCAGCGACAGCAAGCGGCGCCAGCAGGGACCAGGTCCCGATGGGAGTCACCTACTCCGCCGTCCAGTTCCTGGCCTCGGACGGCTCCAACGTCCGCGAGGCGCGCTCGCTCCTCTACCGCTTCTCGTGGTCCTCGGCGCTCCTCCTCCTGCTCTACGCGGCGCTGCTCGAGATGCAGCGCCGGAGGTGTGTCGGCAGCGCCGAGGAGGCCGCCTCGACGCGGTGGAGCCTGCCCGCCTGCATCCTCACCCGCCGCGCCATCGTCACCATCGTGCTCCTCCTCCTCTTTTGCGCCGACGCGCTGCTCTCGGTCTGGGCCGCCCGCTCGATGGCGATGTCCGCCATCTTTGCGTGCGCCCTCTCCAACACGCTCACCGTGACGCTGTACTCGGGGCGCGAGGTCTGGCTGCTCGCGATGCTGCAGCGGACGCGGCTCGGCGTCACCACGCAGCACCTGCTCGCCGCCGCCTCGGCCTCCATCATCCTCGTCAAGCTGCTCACGGCGGCGGCGCTGTGGAAGGTCGCAGACTCCCTCTTATCTTCTCTATACACCCTCCCGTGCACCTTCTTCGCCCCGGATTCCTTCGCCCCGGAGAAAGAAGAAAGGGTCCCCTCACTCCTTTTCTTTCCCAAGGTCGCCCGCCGGCTCTCGACCGGCGACCTCGCAGAGCTTGCGGTGGTGCTGCGGGTTGGCTCGAGCAGCCGCGAGGTGGGTCGGCCGGCGGCCCTGCGCCGAGCCCTCCTCCCGAGCCCTCTGTGACGCGTCCACGAGAGCCCCGACTCTAGGACCCGGCCGGCGCCTTCTCCTTCTCGCCCGCCGCAGACAAGCGCGGCGCCGGCCCCGCGCCGTGGAACATCTCGACGGTCGCGCTCGGGCTGAGCCCGGGGGAGGGCGAGCGAGGGAGGGGCGGCGGCCAGTCGGGCGGAGAGGCGGAGCCCCCCCCCCAGCCAGACTCGCCAGCCGCGCAGCAGCCGCGCACCCCCGCCGCCGCGCCGCTGCGAGCGGTGGCGCTGCCGATGGCGCCGGCGGTGCAGCCGAGCGGTGGGGCGCTGCCGATACCGCCACTGACCCCGCCTCAGAGCCAGCAGACATAGCGCCCCGGAGAGGGAGCGTCACCCAACAATGTGGTGTCAGGTGCATCATATCAGAGAGAGCAGTCAGCGAGCATGGAGAGAGTGAGAGAGGGCGAGGGGGGTGGAGGCTCTGGAGAGAGCGGAGAGGTCCCCCCGCCCACCCCAGCGGGCACAGCGCACCCTCGAGTGTCGATCTTTAGGCCCCCGCGGTGCGCTGTGCGCTCACAGGGGAGATGGTGGCATGTACGTAAAAAGGAAGAGCAGTCACAAACGCGCATCAAGCGTCGCGCGCATCCGCGGCGCGCGGGGCCACCTCCGCTGAGTATGGGCAACTGCCTCTCCAGCACCGCCTCAGCGCTCAGGCCTCACCCTCCGCCCTGCTGAGCGCCCCCCCTGCCCGCGCGTGGCTGAATCGACTTACACCAGGGCAATGCCGCCGATCCGCCCCCCCCATCGGCGCCACCGTCTCCCACGCATTCAGCGCCGGATCGTACCGCTCGACTGAGCTGAGGTGGCGGAGGGCGGAGTCGCCGCCCACAGCGTACAGCTTGCCGTCAAGCACCGCAACCGCGACCGCACCGCAGCCGCTCGAGCCGTCGACATCGGCGCCACCTCCTCCCACGCATCCAACGCCGGGTCGTACCGGGTGGGAGGCCATGTGAGGGAGGCTGCAGACAATCGCAGAGCCTCGCATCACAGCCCTGGCGCCCACGCCGCGACCTTCTTGGGCAGCAGCTGGCTCTGCGTGTCTCCGTGACCCAACTGGGCAATAGATCCACCGCCCCAGCTCCAGACAGCGCCGTCGGCGGTGATGGCGAGGCTGTGGAAGCATCCAGCCGACGCAGCGACGACGCGCCGCGCAGCAAACGCCTCGACCTTCTTCGGCAGCAGCTGCATCTGCTCGTCGCCGTGGCCCGATCGGCCGTTGACTCCATCGCCCCAGCTCCAGACAGCGCCGTCGGCGGTGAGAGCGACGCTGTGGCCGCCTCCCGCCGACACGGCGATGACGCGCCGCCCAGCCAAGGCCTCGATCTGCTTGGGCAGCAGCTGGTCCTGATCGTCGCCGTGGCCCAGCCTGCCATCGTATCCTGCGCCCCAGCTCCAGACACAGCCGTCAACGGTGAGGGCGAGGCTGTGCGACCGTCCAGCCGACACAGCGACGACGCGCTGGCCAGCCAACGCCTCGACCTTCTTCGGCAGCAGCTGGCTCTGCGTGTTGCCGTGGCCCAGCCGACCAAAGCGTCCACCGCCCCAGCTCCAGACAGCGCCGTCGGCGGTGATGGCGAGGTTGTGCACGGATCCAGCCGTCACGGCGACGACACGCTGGCCAGCAAATGCCTCGATCCTCCTCGGCTCCCACTGGTCCTGTAGGTCGCCGTGGCCGTTCCGGCCAAAGCCTCCACCGCCCCAGCTCCAGATGGCGCCGTTGGCGGTGATGGCGAGGCTGTGCGCACCTCCAGCTGACACAGCGACAACGCGCTGATCAGCAACGGCCTCGACCTTCTTGGGCAGCCACTGGGCCTGATCGTCGCCGTGGCCCAGCTCGCCTAAGCCTCCACCGCCCCAGCTCCAGACACTGCCGTTGGCGGTGAGGGCGAGGCTGTGCGCGCCTCCCGCCGACACGCTCACGGCGCGCTCACCGCCCAGCGTGGAAGGGAGGCGGGTCGGCGTGTTGAGCCGCATCACGCCCTCGCCGTGCCCGAGCAGCCCTGGCCTGTAGGACACCGCTGAGCCGCACGACGAGAGCCGCCCCTCACCGTCGATGAAGAGGCTGTGCGAATCGCCTGCCGCCGCCCTCGCCGGCGGGTTGGACTCGCGCAGCAGCGCCATAAAGCACAGCCACCGCACGGCGCAGCTCTCACCCTCTGGCTGCGCCGGCAGCTCGAAGCCGCGCTCTTGCGCCCACAAGCGGATGGCCTCCACCGCAAGCGAGGCGTGGAAGAGCAGCGAGACGGCCGCGACGCGAGCGATGTCGGCGGGGTCGCAGCGAGAGAGGGCGCGCACGAGGAGCTCCGAGGGGAGGTCGAGGAGGCGGGCGGGCGGCGGCGTGTCCGGCGTGTCGGCGCTGGACATCGCGAGAAACCGAATGTCGAGCGCAGCACCGCGAAGACACGAATTCTCGTACCGCAAGCACCGAGCCTGCGCGTCGCAAAAGGGTGGAATCAAGGTTCGTGCACTTGAGAAAAAAAGAAAAAATCGGACGCTCCGCATCCACTCAAGCAAGGTGTCCGGTTGCTCGATGACAGCGGTCCCGCCCTTCCTCCCGGCCCTTCTGTTGGCCGCCGGCGCCGGCCTCGTGATCTACGAGGCCACTCGCCCTGATCCGCCCGCGCCCGGCCCGACGCCGTGGTTCGAGATCCCCACCTGCAACAACGCGAGCGCCTCCACGGCCGGCGGCCGCGCCGTCGCCTCGCTGGCCGACACCTCGACCGACGGGGATGACATCTGCGCCAACGCCGACTCTGGCGTCGCCGCTCCGCCGCTGCGGATGGCGCTCGCGCTGGCGGATGGCTTTCAGCCCGGCCTCACCTACTCGATCTCTCTGCTCGTCCGGTCGGGCGCCTACCTCGTGAGCGGGATTGCGGTGGAGGACGGGCGCGGCGGCGTGCTCTCCCCGGCCGCGAACCTCGAGATCGGCCCGGACATGAACTTTCCGTGGCGGACCAAGGCTGCCGCCAGTCTCTCGCCTCCTCCGCCGCCGGCGGCGGCAGCAGAGGCGAGCGGGGACTCGTTTGCCGCTGACGGGCGGCGGCTGGCGGCGGAGGAGAGGGAGGCTGGGGCGTGGGGCGGGGGGGGCGACGAGATCAGCCTCGACGACTGGCAGGATGAGTGGGCGGAGGCGGAGGAGGTGGAGGCGGAGGAGGTGGAGGAGGAGGTGGAGCAGGAGGAGGAGGAGGCGGGAAGGCGGAGCCTCTCTGCCGACCGGCGGCGAGGCGGAGGCTTCTCCCGCGGAGGTAGCTCGTGGGGCTCCTCCCGCTCCCGCTCCTCCTGGTCGTCGTCGTCGTCGTCGTCGTCGCGCTCCCGCTCCTCCTGGTGGTCCTCCTCCTCCTCCTCCCGCTCCCGCACCTCCTCCTCCTCCTCCTCGTCCTCGTCCTGGTGGGGCGGCTCCTCCTCCTCCTCCCGCTCCCGCTCCACCCCGACCTCCTCCTCCTCGTCCTGGTCCTCCTCGTCTCGCTCCCGCGCAACCTCCTCCTCCTCCTCCTACTACTCCTCCTCCTCCTCCGCCTCCCGTTACTCCGGCGCCTCCACACACCGCCCTCTCCCCCCCCCCC